CGTTAATTCCGTTCTCTCTCTCTCTCTCTCTGTCTCCCTTCCTCCCTCCCTCCCTCTCTCTCTCTCTCTCCCTCTCTCGCTAAGGTTCAAGAACGAACGTCGAGGAGATGCGACGAGGTTAGAACGTAATAATAATGGTACATAGAGTACATGGCGTGTAAAAGAAAAAAGCGAAAGAGAACGAAACACGGTGTCTCGTGTTTTGGGGGATAACGAGATCCTTAGAATCGAAGGAGGAGGAACGAAGAAACGAGGTATAGGTAAGCGGGATGTTTCAAGGACTCACCACAGCTTCGGTGACCGGTATCCACGTGACGACGAGTAGGGCAAGGACGCAGGTGACTCGCAGGACAACCGGGAACGAACGTAACCCGCGGGTTGCGTTGGCCCTAGGCAGCATCGTACCTTCTCCTCCTCCTCCTCCTCCACCTCCTCCTCCTCTTCCTCTTCCTCCTCCTCCTCCACCTCCTTCTCCTTCTTCTTCTTCTTCTTCTTCTTTTGTTACTGCTTCTTCTTCTTCTTCCTCTTCCTCTTCCTTTTCTTCTTCCTCTCCTTCCTGTCGGTGTCGCTTCTCGTTCGTCGTTGTTCCGGTTTCGGTGTAGCTGTGCCGGTGGAGCGTCGCGAACGAGGAGGACAGGTTCCTGGGCTCTCCTCGGAACGGAGGAGACTACGAGGCGATGGAAAACGTGGCGTGCGCGATCGTTACTCGTGGATGGACCTGGATGCGTAGTCGAGAGACGACGCGGTGGCCCATGGTCGATGAGCGGTGTCCAAGGGCCAGACAGACGGCCCGCTTGGCCCGTCCTCCTCCTGGATCGGTCGCAGCTTCGCGCAACCAGACAGGCCTAAGTCGGCGGTGGAGGAGGCGCTGCTCTTCTCTCTTCTCTCTCTCCTCTCCTCTCCTCTCCTCTGCTCTCCTCTCTCTCTCTCTCTCGGCCAAGCTGTATCCTTGCGCGTCCGACCGCGTCACGGTGGTGGGTAAACGCTCCCCCTCTCGTTCTCCGCTCTACTCGAGTACGGTTCGCTCGAGAGTCGGAGAGGTCTACGCGGCGATCGACATCGGCTCGGCCCGTGCAACAGTCCTCGTGCGACGCGCGACCGAGCTTGCCTCGACCCGGTCACCAATCCTCTCCTCCTCTCTCTCTCTTCCACCTCGACGACGACACCACCACCTCCTTTTCTTCCTCCTCCTCCTCCTCTTCTTCCTCTTCTTCGACTTCTTCTTCTTCTTCTTCTTCTTCTTCTTCCTCTTCTTCCTCTTCTCGGTTCCCTCTCTCCAGCGGCGCAACGCTCCTCGATCTTCTTCCCTTCCTACTCCCTTCCTCTCCCGTTTCG